TTTGCTAACCTCCAAAAGAAACAAATATAATTCTTACAGCCTCGCACATGATGGTGGCTACAACCTTTACTCGAGCACTGTGGTGAAGAGCGGGCTTTGGAGCTGTCGTAGAGAGCAGCCTGGGGATGGTGGGGGTTTAGACGGCTTTAGAGGAAGAGGAGAAGAGGTAAGGGTTTGGCTCTGGGACAGGATTCTAGTTGATGGCTGATGCAGCAGGATTCTCTTGCAGGCCACGGCCACTGCATGAGCACATCTGAAAGTCTTTATGGAGAGGAAGTGGTAATTGTAAGCAGCCCCCCAACCTTCCAAGCCCTCTGATCTCCCCCTCCCTCTACTAGACCCCTTCCCCCTGTTTATTTCTTTCTTTCTCTGTCCCCACCTTCCTACGCTGCTAAACTTTCAGCTTGTTACTATGGCAAACTTTAAATAGACTGATAGGGTCTTTATGTTGTGGCAGGCAATACTCGGATCATTAGTTTCCCCTCTTTCGCATCTTAGCATTTGCGTTGTTTGTTTAGATCCTTTCCTGTCTATTATCCTACCAGCAATCAACCGCTCCAGAGTTCACTAGCAAGCGGCCCGAGACCACCTCTTTGAGGCGGACCAGAGTCTGGTTGTTTAGTTCAGAGGAGATATGAGATTGCGTTCACACCAACCCAAATTAACTGCAGCAAGGGGTTAAACGCTCCAGGGTTCGATTCAACCGTACTAAACAAGGCTTGTGTGAAGGCGACCTAAGTCTCATAGCCGCTCCGCTAACCGATTTACCGGCTAGGATCATAAACAAACTTCTTCAGAGACTGGGTGCTTCTTGCTCTCTGCACGTGCCACACCAAACTGAACTGCTCAGTTGGCTTTTGTCTCCCTTGTAGTGGAGATCAGCTCCAGGTGTGTGGCTCTCCACCTGCTCCCAACACTGCCAATTGGTAGAGGGTGGAGCCACCTGGCAAGAATGGAGAGGCCTCTGACTACCCTGCCTCTCCACCCCTTACAAGGCCCTAGGTCTTATATTATTATTTTGTTCCTCTGCTGTGACATGTTTACATGATTTAATGTTAAAAAGTGCTTTTCTCCCTCATACTGCCTGTGCTGCAGCACCTCTTTCACCCTCTGTGAAATAATTAAGATGTTCTTGAAGTGGGGTTGTACAAGGGTCTTCTCAATAGTTAGTCTATATTATACAGTGGATGGCCCAAGTTTAGAGAGACACAGGGCTACCAGCATGGAAGCAAAGCGCTGTACTTCTATCGAGTAGCAACAAAACATATTTTAGCCACCTAAACAAAATTACCACCAATCAATATCAGAGAAAATATTCTAACATCAGCTTACACTTTTTTATAGGTGACTTCAATATTTTTTGCTACTGCCAAATATCCAGGTATTCCCATCTGTTCTTCCAAGCTGGGGACGTGCTGATGATCCGCTTTAGGTCATGCAGTTTTAAAAAATCCAAATTATACCTTTTTAATTTCCAGGATCTGCTGATAGACAGCCAGAGAAGTGTGTTGGTAGGTCTGCTACTGTGTCGGCTGGCTTCTGTTTTGTTTGGCGTACAGACGTTTTATGGCTTTGTGTTCAGTGATATACAGTATCTGAGCGCATCTTGGCCTGGGCCTGTGAGGGGGAAATGGTGTATTAGAAGTGGAGTGGCAGAAGATTAGTGTGAGGTCAACAGCTCAGCAGTCTGCTGCTGAGAAGTGATCTCATCTGAGTATAGGCACAGTATGCCAGCTCTTACTGTAGTGCTGACCTCAGGAAGGTAGTTAACTACACATTATAGCTGAAAAAACACACACAGACTCACCAGATTGAGCCTCAGTGTCCCCAAAGGGGGAAAAATCACCACAGCAGATAGGCTTTTACCTTTTCCAGCTGTCTGGACTGAGTAACCTTTACGGTAAGCTCGTAAATAAACATAACGGCACGTTTATCTCCACAACATAGGCTTCAAACCGACCCGTACCACACATAGTTTTAAAACTAAGATTTATACCTGTGAATTTATTGGGCATGGATGTTGTGCTTCACAGTTGAGCAAGCTAAAGGATGACATATGCACAGCTGTATCAATCGGCTTACTGTTTTCCTTGTCGTGTCCGCAGCTATGGAAAAGCCGCGTTTTGCCTGGAGGAGCTGATGATGACCAATCCTCACAATCACTTGTACTGTGAGCAGTACGCTGAGGTAGGTACAGCCGCCTGGATGTCCATCATCGAGCATGGGGGGCAAACTGGAATAAATGTTAACCTTCTGTCAATGGCGCCTCTCTGTAAAAACGGAGAGACGTGCACTTAACGTCACTGGGAATAAAGGCTCCTGAAAGGACGTGTGTTTACACAGGGTCGTTATGAATTGCTTATTCAGATGTCATGCTGTCATTCCTCGAGCTGCCCCTTTGCACAGCTTATTGGCCGTGTTTAATGCCTCGTCCTCCGTCTCCTCACACAGGTGAAATACACTCAGGGGGGGCTGGAAAACCTGGAGCTGTCCAGAAAGTATTTCGCCCAGGCGCTGAGGCTGAACAACCGAAACATGAGGGCATTGTTTGGTCTGTACATGGTGAGTACTGCTTTGCATGAAGAGAAAGTAGGAGAGAAAGGGAGAAGAAAAAAAACAGTGGAGAGTTTTTTTGTAACTCTGTGGTTTGTCAAGGTTGAGGCTGGCCACTGAGTGTGTCAAGCACCACTGTACTCACTGTGTGTGTATGTGTTTTCGGGGGGAGTGAAAGGGGGCTCTCAGACAGGTCACTGCTGACTCAGACGGTGAACTCCAGCATCGGAAAAGTCTGCCCCTCTGGAGCCCTTTATTTTAGTAATAATACCCCTTCGGTGAGACATTTTTTTTTTTACGTGTATGACTTAAATAAATAAAGAACTCACAGAGTTAGAAAAGAAAAGAGCAGAACAACCGCTGCAAGCATTTTGTCACAGGCAAATTACCCGACCAGGTGCCAGTACCATTGTAGTTACGCCCCTTTTCATCTACATATTTGTTTAAACAGGATGTTGTCTGCTAGTGCCAATGCATCATACGTAATTGAGACTTGACATAAAAACATAAACGAAGCGGCACAGGGAATAAAAGGTGGAAAGGGGGAAGCAGGTCGAACACACAGAGCTCCAGTGTTTTCCTCAAAACGGCACTGGGATTCTTCAAATAGTCCAAACACCTCGCGAAATCCCAAAACCGCTACGAAGATGCAGGGTCAAAACGGAGACTTCTGTTAACTCTCACGCTCGTCTGGACACAAAGCAGGTCCCTGTACGGCTTCCTGACAAGTCATCAACTGACACTTGGGTCTTTTAATGGAGACTTCAGCTGGGAGTTTTTCCTTTTTTCTTATCAGTCACTGTGCAGATTGTCAACGGGCCTCGGTGGTCCAGATTTTGACAGGTGCAAGAAGTTTAGCGAAAGGACAGGAAACGTTCACCAACTGAGTCATTTCAGACCTGGTAGCACTGACCACACTCGGGTTGTGGGTGAGTTACTCACAACATTAGCGTGGGGATTCCCCTCCATAACAGGATAGCCTGTCTAGGATGACATGATCTAAATTAGGGTTCGTAAGAAAAAACTGATGCTTACTAAAAAAAATACAGAAACCAAACCGTCTACAGAAACCCAGGTCTAGGTTGATTGGTTTGTAGTTAAAGTTTCAGCGGAGGGCTTTGAAGTGCATGCAGGGTAAGCCCTCTGGGGTTTGCTGTGTGGAGATGATGGAAGGAACATGGGAAAGACATGGGATTTGTGGTTCGGAGGGGAGCTGTCGAGGCAGGCAAAGACCGTGATTCACACAGCGCTCCTCTCGCTGCGCGCCACTTTTTTTCCCTTCAACATCAAGATCCTTTTATCGCGATGAATCAATGGTGTTGGAGAAATTAGGCCCCTGTTAAGTGACAATTTACGTACGAAGCATTAAAACACTCACTTTTTCCCCTCCCCATAAATGATTTCTCCCGTGTCATCAGGCCAAGGTCTGTTTTCTCTCTCTTCGTTTCTTCTGCCACAATGACTAGTGGAGTGGTGGATGGTAAACGTGGTTGACCATTCATCTCAATTACGCTTTTTATTGCTGTTTCACCAAGTTTTGATATAAGAAACACCCCCTTTTCCTTCTTTTTGCTTCTTCTTCATGTGTTTATTTCTTCTGTTTTTTCCTCTAGTCTGCAAGTCACATCGCTGCTAGTCCAAAAGTTAGTGCCAAGGTGAAGAAGGACAATATGAAGTACGCCGCCTGGGCTGCCACTCAAATAAACAGGGCCTATAAGGTGAGTCATGTAACAATTGTCCCTGCCTTTATAATCTAGCTTCACTATTATGTTATTCTTGCCACTATCGTCATAGCCGCCATTAGTAGTGTCTCGCTCGTCTACTTTAAAACATGTCACATTTTGCTATTGGAAACATTGGCATTTTGACTGCCCGGGCTGAGATCGAACAGCAAAACCAATGAACGGGTTAGGTTTGGGCCAATTGCCCCCTGAGCCACATTCGCCAAAGCTGGACTTCTAACCCCAAATCATATTTCTTAGGATATTTGTTTTGTTTTAGCTTTCATATGCTATTCACACACAATATCCAGAAATCCTCTCATTTGCATAGCATATAAATATCCATCAGCACCACCAAATGACCCCTGAACGCACAGCAGCCCCGGAGAAGGCCTTTTTTGACGTGCAGTGTTTTGTAATAACAACCCCAGTGTCTTTCCCCATGTCTGGGTACATTTACTGTTAATGTGTTGATTTAAGGCCACAGCGTCTGCTAAGACTTTATTCCACACCCCGGCCTCACAGATGAGCCACAGGCTGACTCTCCCAGGACCACAATCGCACTAAACTGTAGCAGAAAGTTGTATAGTTCAGCGGTTCTCAATGCGAAGTTCAGTGACCCTCAAGAGCCATTAAGCTGAAACTTGGAAGTCCCCGGCATATTCACGAGCCTAATTGTAGATTTGAGTGCTATTTCTCCAGTTGCAGCATGTGTTAACTAGATATACAGTTATCATTAAGACCATTTAGTTTCCATTTTTCGTTCAGACCAGAGGAAAGAAAACATCTAAAAAACACATTTAGGTGTTTTTTTTATTACAAAATCTGTCTATTTGCGTCTTAAAGAGGCCATTTTATGCTCACTCTTCATTCTTCCAAATGTATTAAATGTAATGTCCATCCCTATTTCTAAGTTTATTCATTCATGAATACACTTAGAAATAGGGATGGACATTTAATACATTTGGTATCAATATTGCACTACAGACGAGCACAATATCCAATTCGCACTAAGCACAACTACTATTTTTAGTTAAAGGGGCCTTATTATGCTTTCCCCCCCCAAAGTTCATTTTTGTATTTTGTGCCTCTCCTGTGACATGTTTACATGCGTTATCGTTCAAAAAATGCTAATTTGTTCTCACTACCTTGCCAATAGAAGTGAGGGTGTGAATCTTAGCCTTTACAGACCATTTACAAAAAACGATATGACACACTGCAGGGAAGGGAAAAGCACAATAGGGCCCCTTTAACATTTCTCCAAATTTGACAAAAGTGAGCATACAAACAATAATTGTCAGTCACAATGTGGGGAAGTTTCATGGTGATATCCATCAGATTACTTTTAACTTATTCATTTGTAGAGTAAATCAATTCATCTGGGATGATATTTGAATTACTGTCCCTAAAATAAAATCTTAATGGCCAAATAAATCCATTTGTGCTAGAAAAATGTTCTGTAAAAATGATGGCATTGATCTATTACTACACCGAGAGTAAAGAAGTTGTCCAAAAATGGGAGATAAATTATGGAACTCTGTGTGCTGACATTAGTATTCGCACATGTACGCAATGCAAAGGCATGGGGAAAAAGTGAGGAGCCGCTCACATGGTATCACTAAAACGGTTTATGCTGTTGTCATAGCAACCCAAAAGCATATTTAAAAAAAAATAAAAAATCATCACTTGGGCCATATGTGTTGCTTATTCGGGCACGACAGTTAAACATGTAATAAGCGGTTCCTCGCTCAGCATGTGTGGCTCCTTTTGAGCGAGAGGGGCTCCCCGCTGAGCCTCTAAGTCCTCGTCTCACCACACGAAGGGACACGTTTCACATGTCAAGCACTCAGACAAGTATGAGGGCTCAATCGGAAAAAAGTGTGCATGTGTCACGGTGAGCGGCTGCTGGAGAAGTTTCATGGGAGAACTACGAGCTTTTACTCGTTCCTGTAGGCTTGATTTAACATGTAATAACTGCCGAGGGGTTTTAAATCAGGTTAACACTTCATACGATATGGATCTCCTTGATAGATTGAAAAACGCATAGGCGCTTTGGTCAACAATAATAGTCCATCAAATGCCTCGATTGATGTGGAGTTCTCACACTTTGATCCGTACACTCGCTGACCTCACCTCGCTGTCTCAGAATGTCTTTCATCCCGGCAGGGAACAAGATAAAAATCTCAAACTGCTAAATTTTCGAGCATAAATCTGTGGCTCAAAGGAAGCAGAGAAACAAAGTGTGAAGAAAGAAAATCATACTCGAATGGAACTCAGCCGCGTCCACATATCTGAAGTGTAACATAATCCATGGCACTGACACTGTCCTTCAATTAAACTTCTGTTCTGGCCACATGTTGCACTTATTAGTCTAAAATATCTGATTCTAACTGGTTATGAATCCATTACCGGCAGTTGACAGGCTTTATATAAGTACATCAAAAAAGCTTGGAAACGGACACATTGTAACATTACTCAATGGGACTCCATCTTAAACTTGTTACAGGGTTTTGACAGTAGCATGAGCAGTAGTGGAGCACATGTGTTCCTTGCTAGATATTTGTCTTTATTGCCAGAGAGGGGTGGCAGAAGATTTTCCCACAGACAGGAATCACAAGTCTGTCTTCAGTTCAGCAGATTCTTCGTGCTTATAGCTTTATGGGCATACATTTCAGCTGTCGATAAACACGTACAGACAATATTATGTATGAAAAATAATATATTTTTTGACCAAAAAGTATTTCAGAGTCATTGAGTTGAGTTATTCATCCTTTACTCCTCTAAATGGATTTACAAGACTCATTTAGTTTAAACCATGAAGCTGATATGTAGGCATTTCTCAATAATGAAGTTATCGATTTATCCCACGATGTATGGACATGACAGGAAGCATTTTGGTTGATCTTGATGTTGTCATTCTGTTAACATGTGCGTTTGTTTGGATGAGAATGTGATCAACATAAGAAAAGATAAACCTTTAAGGTTCTCCGTAGGGAAATGTAGGTTTTATAGCAGAAAAAATAGGGACAATATATTGTTTTGTACGTCATGCTGGCAAGACGTTTCAGTGGAGTTATGAGGACAGACTGAAATAATTCAGCTCCACTCAGAGATCAGTGGACAAAGTTTTTAAAAGTTCTGACTGAGTGTGGTTTTCCCCCACCCCCTCTGTGATGATAATGAGACACCTCAGTCAGTCACACCTTTGTCCTCCAGGGAGTGTGAGCTTCTGCCCTCCTCTACAACCTCATTTTATGGAAGAAGACAAATCCAATGATTGAAACTGTCCCTCTATCTTGTCTGGTAGTGCTCTAAAAAATGCCCCAAAGTTAAGCTAATTTCTGTTGAGTGAAATTGGCCTGAATTGATGTTTAACTAGAACATTTGACAAATCCAATGCTGTAAGAATCCTGTAGTAGTTGCCAGGTAATGATTATGTCGTGCCCCGAGTGTATGTACAGTATGTGTATGCAAGTCTAGCACTTGCAGACGTTTTTCTTTTTTAGTTCCCTGTGCGAGACAAGATGAATGACGAGGTGTAAGGTTGCCTCACCACCTCCCGACTTCTGAGATCTTTTTTAAAAGGAGCGGCACGCGGTGTGAGGCCTCTGTTACACAGCTGCAGGCCACTGGGTGCTTGTGCACGCTGATTAATGGCCCTTTTTTCTTTTTTTTATATATAAAACGTCGCTCGTGTCAGTCGTCCACTTTTATTAGGGCCCCGGTACCTAGTGATTGTCATACCTCACTGTGAGAAAAAAGGTGGGTAGGTGAGTGCAAGTGGGAGCAGACGTCAGCGAGAGGTCACGACCCACTGAGACTCATTTACAACAAGAGAAACGTAATTACCTCAGCGGGGTCGGTTGACATGTTAAGGAGCTGTAGATGTGGGGCTCGGAGGCAGTGTAACTAAGTACCAATTTAAGTATTATTTTGACGTGTATTTGCCTATTTCCATTTAATGCTATTTCATACTTCTAATCCATTACACTTCAACAGGAAATATCATATGTGACCCCTTCTATCGAAATCAGTTGGAAGTCGCAACGGCTCATTTCAAAATAAACGTGGATTTGCATAAAAAAAATAGTTTTTCGGGGTTCGGGTGTTTTGTTTGATTTTAAATAAACAAAGTCTTGGCTTTCAGAATATGAAACTTTTATTTCCAATGTTGAATGCTCAATTCTGATTGGTACATTTGGACATTCAGAGGTTGTTAATAATCGATAACACACCGCTGCTAAGGATAAGATGACCGTTGCTAAGGAGGATCAAGGGACATAAGGAAAGAGGTTAAAAGACAGAGCATTCTAAGATGGTGCAACTTCCATTAAACCTTATCACCCCCAGGACAAACAAAGTATTCCAAATCTGATTCTGATTAGTACATTTGTGCTTTTACTGAAGTACACTTTTGAATTCAGCACTTTTACTTGTAATGTAGTGTTTTAGGACCTAAGTATTTCCTCTTTCACTTAAGAAAAAGATCTGAGTACTTACTCCACCCCTGCTTGGAGGTACAAGGGGGGCTTCAAAGCAGCACTGCCCTCCTGCCCTAACTCTCGCAACAGATTCCCTGATTAGCTCCTCCGTCACGAACCAAAGGCTCCCCGCTGCGCCGGGACTCTATTATCAGACGCTCTAAATAGATCTGGAGTGTGTGCTCGGCCTCCACCGCTGTAGAGCAGGGCAGGAGCTAATATGCTTCTCTCACCTCAAGCAAAGGAGATAATTGACTACCGGGGCTCGGGGTAATGGCACATTAGGGCAGCAAGGCAATGAAATGCACTGATCATTATAGCTACCCCACCACACACACACACACACACACACACACACACACACACACACACACACACACACACACACACA